AAAAGAATAATATTTAAGATGTTGCGATGATTAACGCTCATAACGCGTAAGAAAAAAAACATCTGCCTTCAACCGACGTACCGGGCAAGTAATGAACATCTGGCGGAAAAGTTCGCAATAAGTCCAAAATGTAGTGCCTGCCGTCGTTACCGATGATGCCTTTGCTTTCGACTGACGAGTTCAGCTTGACTACATCGCCGTTCTCGCTTTTGACTCTGTAATATTAAGAAAAGTGATGAACAGGTAATTTAAGCGATGATAAATTGGCTGAACGAACAAGCCGAACGAACGATAGAGCACCTGTGAGGTAGAATCTTGAGTTGCTGCGCGCATCTGTTCAGCTACAAGGAAAACGGCGTTAGCAATGAGGAACAGACGACCGCAAGACGCAAGAGATCATGCGGTACTTACCAGTTCGAGATATTTTTCGGACGTGACGACCGTTTTGCCGAAATCTACTGAGCCATACACTACTGACTGTTCCTGGTCCTTCTCGAGAATTCCTGAAGAAATTCGTAAATCATTGAATATACAAGGCCAATGGCTACGAGAAAGAAAACGAACCTGGGATAATAGACTGCGCCGTTACCCGGTACCCCATATAGTCGACGACAACCGTGCCAAGCAGAAACAAGCCTTCGGGATCCAGATTGAAATACGCCTTAACACCTTGAAGATCGTTGTTCTAAAAGGTTGAATTCGTGCAGTCGATAAAATGATTGAAACAGTGGTGACGAAAATGTCACCAAAGTCGAAAACGAGGTGTACCGGAGCAACGAATGCCGCCGCGTCTCCACCAAAGTCCTTGTAATGGTCCTTGACGTCGAAACCTAGCGAAAAAAAGATGTTGTTCCATATAAACATCTGCATCCTGAAAAAGAAAAACAAATGTGAACAATTTTGAACGAACAGAACATTCGACAAACCGACTTTGGATTTTCGCCGGGATTAATGGCCATCACGTTCCCGTCGACCACAACCACTGCTCCTTTGGTCGCAGCGGCCACGAAGTCACTGTACACCTACAACAAGACCTTCAATATAAAAACAAGCATACCAAATTGGTCACTGAAACGAACCTTGAAAATTGCGCGCTCCCTGAGCAAACGTTCCGGAAGAGTTTTCCTGGGCAACTCCCTAGTGGTTTGCAGTTCTTCATTCCATTCACGGGTTTGACCCGGAATATGCTCTTCATAACCGAGTTTAAATGCGAACGCTGTAAAGATAAAGATTACGTCGCCTATAAGTCGCTACCTAGCCGGTACTGAAAGATCATGGAAACACAAACGGAACAAAATGGACAAAAAATTAAGATTTCCTCACTGCCATCACTAAACGAACTTGATATCTGACAATGGTAAAAGTCGTTGTCCGAGCGCTATATCAGGGAACTGATAACAGTTCTTAACTACAGCGTACTGATGGCTAGTAATTTCGTATTCCGTATTGTATGACATACTACTGACCAGTAACTCACAATGTTCCTTTTCGTTATAATATTCAAATTATTCTAGAACTAAAATCGTGAATTAACAGCAGAAAACTACATATCTATTTTTGAATGCCATTGTTAAGAATCTACGACTGAGATGCGCTGGTCCTGCGTTCCCTCCACAATATTTCTCAAATGAAAACCAACGCGAAAAACTCAAGACGTTCGAAAAACAATTATTTACACGTCTGCGACTAAAGTTGCCAATGCTGCGCTCCCTGATAACTGACAGATAGGCAGCGCAAATTTGACCAACACTGTTAACAATTCACAGCAAAGGGTAGTAATTCGATGTATGCATAAAAAGAACTGAAGGACCGAAAGCTCGCACCTGCTGAAGAACGAAAATCTAACGAAACCCGTAGCCTGAAATAAAAAACTTCGTGAAACCGGAAAGTAAACATCGGCTTGGAATTAAAATGAATTGAAAAATGTCACTGTCGGTTCAGAAAGATGACTACATGACGCAAAAGTTTGATATGGTCAGATTTCCCATTCCTATTTTTACAACTGACGTGCCGAAGATCGATATTTACCGCATTTCTTAATATCGTTCATCAAGCATAAATCCATAGATTTTCCGAACCTTTCCATAAAGAGAGTTATGAGTTATGTAATTTTCTGTTCAGCCAATAGACTGTATCTGATAAATGTCCTGTACTTGTCTGAAAGATCGACAGTTACATCATGTCTTTTCGCTG